CCCCGCTTTTTTGGGGTGGGGGGGCAAAGGTTAAAAGAAATGCGCCACCCCCCCTTTTGGTTCCCCCCCCCCCCCCCCCCCCCTACCCCCCCTCAACGCCCCCCCGTTATTCTCTCTTCACTGCTGTTTTCTTTCTCAGGATCCGTCGGCGTCGGTAGCTAGCAGCACCTCCGCCGGCTGCACGCCGGATCACCTGGCCGACCTCGTGGGCTTCGTGCTGCGGTGCCACCTCGAGGTGGAAGAGCTGATGGACATCGTAAGGCGGCAAGTCCTCAACACGGGGCAGGTGCGCGGCTGGCCGAAAGGCGTGCGAGCCCCTGTGTGCGTGCTTGTTTTGGAAAGTTGGACCGACTGCTGTGCCGTGGTTGGTTCTCTGGGAGTTGACGCTGCAGTTGACGCTGCGTTTCGTAGCTATCTTGGTGAGCTCACCTTTTTGTGGAGGCGTTATGGCTGTGTTTGGTCTCCAGGCAGGCACTGCTCATATGCTGCATTTGCGCAGGTGGCCTGTCCAAAGTTTGGCCCCATCTCTCCCAACGGCCGTGGAGTACTATTCCCTCCTTTCACAAGTGCTTGGATGATTCTTTGTGTGGATACGTAGCGCGCCATCGTACCGCACCTAACACGCACGGAAATGTTGCGGCTTTCATTTGATGCACCATCCACCTTTCGCCTCCGCTCCCGCAGCTGGCCCAGGACGAACGGTACGGGGTTTCCCCGGCAAGGAGGCATTTTCCGGAGGGGTCCGCGCAGTCCCAGCTTGCCCTGACGAGGCAGGTGGGCGGGATCGTGGTGGACCTGCTGGTGCAGCTGTGCGGCGGCGACGGAGGAGCCGTTGTGGTCGGGATGATGTCCCAGGCCTTCCCTGCAGGTATGGGGAGAAAACGCCTGCTACATCTGTGGTGCTCGAGTGTGAGTGCTGTTTGGAGTACTCATTGTTCGGTACTGATCTGGGGGGAGTCTGGAGGCTACGTGGGTGGTATTGTGGTGGTGGGGGGGGTAGGGCGACGGGGCCCCCGGCAGGCCACCACAACATTCTCCTCTCTCTCCTAACAATGTACACGGTTATTTTGGGTCAAGTTTTCTCTGCGCTTCTGACAAAAAGCTGTCCTCCTCCAAACAAACGCCACGTGTGTAAGCGTGGGGCCATCCTCTGTTTGAAAAGTGCGTTTCGGAGGTTAGTTAGCGGTCTCGTCTCTATCGTCCTGGTACAGGAGTTTACTGACATGCTCGTCAGGCGTGGTAGGACGCAGGGAGTTGCAATGAGGTATGGTTTATCTTCTACGTACCGCCGACATCGTAACAGTACCGCAAGGGTGGCATTTGGTCAAGCCTGTCGGCTTGTGTGTGTCTCCCATCCACGACCGAACCGTAGAGCCTACAACTGGCCAAGAAAGTCGAAATCAAGGCTGCTCGAACGCTTGCCCTGGTTCGTGCCGTCCTCAAAGGCAATATGCTCATCCATCCGTGGGTGTGCTTGGTTTCGTCCATGTGAGCGCGCCTCTTTGTCCGTCTTTGTTACTGCTGCTGCCTGCTCCCGGTACCCCACCAGGAGGGAATTTCTTTGTTGCCCTGGAGCTCTTGTCGTCCAGCCACGTGGAGACCAGGGTCAGCGCCATCAAGCTGCTCAGTCTCATGCTGGTGAGCAGCCCTCGTGTGTGCTACGTAGACGTGTCTAGGGGGAAGGATTGCGTGCAATACATAGCGTCGCGTTTCCGCTGTCACAACTGCCGCTCTCATGCGAGCGCCCGCCTGCCCAGGGTAAGCAACCGGAGAGTGCGGTTTGCGTGGTGCCTAGACCACCCGTTCCCCGAGGTAGGAAGCTTGGTGTCGTCTTCCATGGCTGCTTCGAAGGAAGCGAGCCCCGGCCGGCTTTCACGAAATCCGAAAGAAAGCGGTCTGCCGAGGCTAAGCTTTTGATAGCGTGCGCCCCCCTTCTCGCCGCCGCCACGCCGCTCCTTGCGTCCAGCAACCTGCACCAGCCGACGTGTCGTAGATCTTCACAGCACCACCACCGGAGTCCACGAAAGCCTGCTTGTGCCAATGTACAGATGTACAGCAGTGGTGGTCCCATATATAGCGGTCCCGAATAGCGCGGTTCCGGGTATATCGCGGGAGAATTTCCTTGGCATAACGGCCTATTTAGCCTACTACTATTCAAGGACCTTCCCCCAATACTGCGGATCCCGATATCTATCAAGTGGTGATCTTTGCTTGTCGTTGTATCGGGGCCACTTCACCTCTTTTTCCGCACCCGATGATGATTGCCAGGTGAGGAAAGGAGATGACGGTAGACGACCTTCCACCTCAAACTTCTTTTCGTCGGACGACTCCAGCACCGGCGGGGGCGCGCGGCCGGGAACAGACCCCCAGGCGCTGCGCGCCTTCGAAAAGCTCGGCGGTTTCACCGCCATGGGGCGCCAGCTGGAGTTGCACACCACCTGCCAGGCCGTGTGCGACGCCCTGATGGGCATGATTTTCGGCGCCTGGGGCTCGAAGCACGAGCCCCGGCCTATTCGAGAGAAGGACGTGCTGGCCATCAAGGGCAACAAGGAGTCATGGTTGAGGTGCGGCGTGGTGTTGTGTGATGCGGCCGGCCCCTCTGGGGCTTGGTGGCTCACACGTGCTGTTTCCGCTGTTTCGTGCTTTTTGAGGAGAAGTGCATGCTGGGGTGGCTGCATGTCGCTCGCCTATTCAGGGTGGTGTGCTTTGATTCTTTGTTTGTTTTCCTGCGTTTGTTAAACAAAGTACTCGTCAAAAAAAAAAATCTCGGGTCAAACTTTGTCAAAAAATAGGGCAGGAGCAAGCATCATCCTGCACCTAACTCGGCTGGGTAACGCATCATCCAGAACGTCCACACCGCTCTCGTGTAGGCGGGGCGATCACTCGATGAAACCAACCAATCCAAACACTTTGTGCCGCCGGGTCCGTCTCCCTCCTCCCGGTGCATGCTTCCTCAGAGCTTGGTGGAGCAGCTACTCGAGCCCTCCAGACGACGAAGCGACTAACACCGCCAACCACAACAGCAGCGCCAACTCCATGGCGGCCGGCGCAGCGGCATCCGCAAGAACAACAACAGCCGAAGGGTGCAGCAGCAGCAGCACCTCCATAGTAGACCGGATCAGGTCGACCGCGGTGGGGGCCACTTCCTCCGGAAGCGCACCCGCGACAAGCTCTGTCGACCAGAACGGGCCCGAGAGTGTCCAGCCTCCCGATGCCGGAGCGCCGCAGACGCTTGCCCCAGCGTTGGACACGAGCTGGCACGAGCAAGAGGGCGGTGACGAGGGAACGGCGGTGCCGGAGGCTGACCAAGAACGCCGCTCGGGAGTTGCCGCCGCCACCCCCGCTGCTGCCGCACGAACCGGCGGGCAGGGTGAAAATAACCAAGCCGTCAACGGCGAGGGTGCAGCGGTGACGACGACGATACCCCCCGGTAGCGTCGTCAAGCCGGGGAGGTTCGCCGCTCTCATGAAGCCGAAGGCGGACACCGGCGGGGGCGCCGTGGCCGTCGGGGCCGAAACGGGGGCCGGGGACAGCAGCACCGGAGAAAAGGAAGACACGAGCTTTTTGTCCGGCTTGTTCCGGCGGTTGAGCATCGAGCCCTCTGGAGGAGGGGACGACAAGGCCGCGGCGGCGGCAGAAGCAGCAGCAGCAGCAGCAGCAGCAGCAGCAGCAGCAGCAGCAGCAGGAGGAGGAGGAGGAGGAGGAGGAGGACCCCGAATCTTCGGCAAGGTGTTCCCCCCGTCCTCAGCCGAGCGAGACGCCGGGGTGGCGGCGCCGCCGCCGCCGCCGCCACCGCCGTCCTCGTCGACGAAGAAGAGAACCGCCGCAGAAAAGCCGGCTTCGTCGTCGCCGCCGGAGGAGGTCTTCGACCCGCCGCTTCCGACCGAGGCAACACGCGAAGCAGCAGCCCGCCAGGCAGTGGAAGAGGATCAGCCGGAACAGGAACACGGGGAGGACACCAACGGCGGTGACGACTCCGAGTCGCTGAGCCTGGTACTCCCCGAGGCGGTGGAGGTGCTCATGAGAGCCCTCCAGCGCGCGCAGTCCCCCGCGGTGGTCTCCCGGTGCCTGCTCCAGCTGGAGAGCGCCGTGGCTTGGCTGCCGGCGGCCGGGTCCGCCGCCCCCGAGTCGGCCGCCGGTCGGAACGGCGGTAGCGGCGGCGGGGAAGATGACGGCACAGGTGGGTCGGCCGTTGGGAAGCCTTCCGCCGGTGCGGTCGGCGGGGTCGGCGGCGGCGGCGGCGGGGCTTCGCGAAAAAGGGCGAGGAACACCGACGGAGGCGACCGCGAGAGAAACGCGGACGCGCTCATGTCTCGGCAAGGGTGGCTGGCGTGGTGCCAGCGGCTGGTGGATGCGTTCTCGGCAAGGAACGACAGCGGGGACCTCGTGCCGCCGCCGAGGCGGGGCGCGGGGCACTTCGGCGGGTACGGAGGAAACGACGGTGCAGACGGCGGGGGAGGCGGCGGGAGCGACCGGTGGGGCATGGGGGGCTCCGAGGTGTGGGAAGCGGGGGGGTACATGGACGACTCGCACTCAGGTCCGTATGAGGGGAGGGAGGGTGTCCTTGTTGATCTTGAGTGTGTACAGTGTCGTTCAGTATCTTCTCCTCGCAGGTGTTGGTGCATCTGAGTACTTTAGTTGTGAATTGGGCTCGACGGAGTGTTGTCGTGGAGGCGCGTGTATTGCTGGTTGTGGGGGGGGGGCTTGTGGTCTGGTCTGTCCCACCCGCGTGTGTTGAGATACGGCTGTAGATTGGCATGTTATTCGTGCCGGGTGCTGCAGCCATGTAGGCTGTCTTCGACGGATGGCTAGCCATGATTTCTCCCCCTTAGCCTTGACGCCGAAAAAGGGATGTGTCGCCCCCCTTGCCACCCCTCGCCGCCTCCCACGCCCCCGCTCACCAACTCCAAGCACACTTGTTTTAGTCCCAACAATCCGGTTGAACCCCACGTACATCGTTCGACCTCCCGCTCACCCAAGGCTTGTTCGATTTCAATGGAACCTGATTTCAATAAACTGTTGCTGAATCTCACATAACGTCGTTCCATCTCGCGCGGCGTTGTACAATATCTTTTTTTTTTTTGTCAATAATTCTGCGGACCGTTAAACCAGAGACGACGGACACCGGCAGCGCGTTCAGCTACTTGGAGTCGATCTCGATGGGCCAGTCCGTGGTGCCAGACGGTGGCAGCGGTGCTCTTGAGGCCTTCACCGGCCCCGTCTACGGCCTCGTTGCCGCTTTGCTCGAGCAGGACATGGCGAGACCCGCGCGACACAAGCGAGGCCACCGTTTCCGCGAGCTGTTTCACCTCTCGAACGGCAAGAGCTTCCAGGTGACCACCCCGCAGAAACGCGAAACAACGCCATGGCAACACTACCATCACGTAGTACCGTGCCTGTTCCGATCTGCTGGCTTATTTTGGACCCTTGTCCACATAGTGTGATCCGCTATGTTATCGCGCGAATGCCCTGCTGCCTTGTTGGGCTGTTGTCTGTTCCGAGCGGCCTCTCTGCTGGATTTATCGCACCTTGTTTTGTGTTGTACGATCCGCAGTCTTACCTCGCGAATGCTGTGATGCGTTGTCGGGATTCAACGCGCAGTGGGCTGTGTCTCGCTTGTGGCCCAACCCTGCTAGCGATCCTTGAAGCACCCTTCAAGCACCCCTCAACTCACTGCCGTAGTAGGAGCGCGTACCATGCGCCAACACTCTACCCGCCGTTGCCGTCGCACACCCCGATTCTAGACGCCTGTATCTGCTCGCTCATGGTACTGCGATTCTCCTCGATACTCTCGTGCTGCTGCCACCCCTGTTATTTCTTCTTGGGTGCCGCCTTCCTGTTCAACTTGTGAACTTCGTTTTGGTCACCATTGTTCTTTGCCGTGCTGCTGCCGTAGTTGACCCCATTGCTCCGACCAACACCCTCGGTAACCACAACTGCGGTGCTGTGTGGCTGTCCTTGCCTCGAAACCAATCGCGCTTGCAAAAGGCGGCGGTGCTGGAAGACGCGCTCGATGCCGTACAAGACAGCCCCATGCTGTCTACGGAAGGCGTTCAAAGCTCACGCCCAGCGTCGAGGGCGGGAGGGGGAGGAGCGGCGGCATCACTGGACGCAAGGGGCGAAGAGAGCGTGCAGAGACTCGAGAACTTGAGAGAACTGCTTGTCGCTGCTTTACATCACCATCCCGATCTTCCCCTGGGGCTGTGCGTCAAGGGTGGGTTGCCTCGGACTCGTCCTGCTTCTTGGGCCAAGAGCGTTTGATTTTGCATCCGCGTTTCCTCTAACAAGCAACATCGTTCTGGAGAATTGGAAAAACAAGGTTTCGGCTGTTTCTGATGAAAAGTGATTGTCTTTGGGTTAGGTGTGTGTGGGGGGGGGGGTGCCCATTGTACGTTGTGGGCACGAGCGAGCATTTATTTCGTCATGTTGGACGCCTGGCGTGAACTGAACCAATGTCTAAGCGTTCAGTATCTCGGTGAACACGTGGCAAAAACCGCTACATAGGCGCTGTTTCCTAAATAGTTGACGTTTGCCGTGAAGAGCTCTACACCTCGGTCCAGTCACGAGCCTCCCGTGTCCCCCCTACCTCTCGGTACAAAACCCAACCGCGGGCGGCAGGCGTGCACACGATCAACCTGCTGGGGTACCACGGCTCTCATGAGGCGAGGAGCAGGATGAAGTCGGTGGGGCTGCTCCGGGCACGAGACGACCTCATCCGTCGCTGCCTCTTCCACCCCGTCGCGGCCGCGTGGGAGGTAGTGTCGGCCTTGTCCCAGGTGCTTAGGGTATTAATGGCCGCTTGCTCTGGATCACAATGCCGCCCTGACGTTCGTCGGGTTTTTGTGTCCTTGAGCTCTCAGAACCTCATGGATGTTTCGGTCGGATGCGGCTCTTGATCGTGTTGCTTACATCCTGGATCAGTAGGATCTCTGTTTTGTTATTATTTTATTACTTGTTGCTGAATGTCGTAAGTGTTTTCTCGCCTGGCTGTTGAAGCAACAATATTACTGTGCTCGATGATGGCAGAAATCGTTTCTTCTGTCAGTGTTCATGTGTGCTCTGTCTGCCATGCTTCCCACAGCTGGTGTGATTTCGTGCTCTATGTAGTCGGTTGTTGCTTGAAGCAGAAAACCCTGTGTTCAGGATGCACCCCGTGCCGTGCAGAGTTTTATATCTGTCTTACTTGTCACTGGCGTCGTACGTTGCGCTTGATGCGGCAGCTAAGCTTGCTCCTCCACAGTGATGGGCTGCTACGTATGTCGGTGCTTCGCCCTTGCCGAAGTTCTTCATTAGCACGGAGAGCAGGGGACATTCGTCCTCGGCACTACTGCTCTTTCAAGCAGAATTTACTCGTACCATCTTCGCATGCTCTTGTTCGAGGCAGAGGACAAGTGTTCTCGTTACGGAAATGCTACTCCAAGAAACGCTTGTTCTCTAGCGGCCGCAGCTCCCGACTTTCGCCTCCTCGATTCGTCGTTTGGATTGTCGATTATTATAGGTGGAGGATGCGTTGGAGACGCTCGTGTCACAGCACGGCGAGAAGTCGGGCGGCGAGGCTGAGACCGTCGCCGCAGGTAATGAGACAAATACCACCCGTAACGCACGTTACCGCTCCACACTGCTAGACTTAGCTGCGAGAATGCTCCCAAGGAGAAGCACAATTTGGCGGAAGCGCCGTTCTTTAGTGCTGAGCAGTGCTGTCAGCGTCTGCAGTTGGTAAAAACAAGTATGGGTTTTGCCCAGCGGCGTTTTTTTGTGTGTTCTGGGTTCGCTGTTGCACCCGGTCTTTGTTTACAGCCAAGAGCAGAAGGCAGCGGCAGCCCGAAGCAGCAACCTTTGGTGGAAGTAGGACACCGCACCTGACGCGATACCTTTGTGGGCGTACGCCTGGCCTTCCGACAGGAGTGATGTGCCACAATTAGCGAGGAGTCCGTCCGACAGTAGCAGCGAAACCTCCTCCCGCGTATCTATGTATGTAATTATCCTCGATCACCCCACACGCACCCTGCGACGAATTTGTGCGTTCCTACCCCTCTGTAAGCGCTCCGAAAAATATGTGCGTCCACCCGGTTGTCCTATGAAGTGGTACGTTTTACCTTACCAGCCCTAAGCGTGTGCTCCTGATCCGATTCGGCATACCACTCGCCCACCGCCGCCTTGCCCCCGACCCCCCCCCCGGGTCTTCCCCTGACACCCGCAGGGGAAGTCGCGGTGCAGCTGCTGCATCTCTTCGTCGAGGTCACCGTCGCGGTCGTGTCCCAAGCCACAACGACAACAGCGACCGGCGGCGGCGGCGGCGTCTCGTCCCCCGTCGCGCGGAGCAACTCGGCCGCGCTTGCGGGGCGGCGGGCGACGCAGGTCTCCGCGGCGCGCGCCCTCGGGCGCGTGGCGGTGGCGAGCCCCGTCTGCCGCAGCACGGTGATCCGACTCGCGAGGCACCAGCAGCTGCTCGTCCGCTTGCTGCCGGCGCTCCGCTGCCCGCTGACCATCGAGGAGGTCGAGGTGAGCGCTGTTTGACCGGCCCGGTATTCGTGGTACCGTATGTGTCATGTGTTTGTTCCCAGCCACATCGAAACCGTTGTCAGAAGGGCGGGCCTCCCAACAAGACGTATTTTTCGAAAATCGTTTTTTTTTCAAACATCTCTATGAATACGACGTCACCTGGGGCTTTGCCTCAGAATTCTTACCAGTTAGTTTCGTCCGCAAGAATGCTCGATCTCGTAGCTTGAAACTGCCTCCGTTGCTTACAACACCCACTCTCCCCTTGGGGCATTTTCTGCTGCTCATTCGTTTTTCGTGTTGTTCAGGCTATCGAGCTTGGAAACATACCAGAGGCTTTGCCGTCGCTTTCGGGCAGCAGCCGCTGGTCCTTGGGATCGCTGAGCCTTCTCCCTACGTCTACAGCACCAACGTCGGTGTCTTGCATGTCAGATGATGCCGAGGGTGAACAGGAGACGCTCGTAAGTCAAGCCGTGTGTTGTGTTTGTGTACTTTGATTGTTGTAGTCCGTTTATTATTGATTAGTTTTTGGGTGTAAGACTGGGGTTATGGGTCAATAAGACCCTAACCCTCACGTGTTTATTTGCGTTTTTTTTGTTATTCTTTATTTTTTTAATTCTGTTGCCTCCTCGTTGGTTGTTCGTTTAATATGTTGACGTCGGTTTGCTGAAATTGCTCGCCACTTGTCAGCGACAGCAGTGCGGCACCCCTTTTCCCGTCCCCTCCCATCCTCCCATCCCCCCCCCCCCCCCCCCCCCGGACCCCGAAAACCCCATCAAAATTAAGGGTTTTAAAAGCGTAAACCTACCCCCCCCAAAATACCCCGGTTTAATATGGGAAAGAAAAAAAAAAGGAGTGGAAAAACCCCAGGGGGCCCCAAAAAAAGAAACCAAAA